GACTTTTCATTTCGACTTTGACCTCCAAAGTCGAAACATTTCGACTTTTGGGTTTTCATTTCGACTTCATATATAATAGTAATATTTAACGAGAATGAGTTGATAACTTTGAATAGGTAATGCCAGATATGTAGATTACTAATTTTGAGAAAAGTCTTTGTGATGGAAAGATGGTCAAAAGCATATTATATCTATTGAACTGCAAGATTACTGTAAGGGAATCCATAAATATTTTATATGGTACTCTTTAGGAGCAACCAATATGACTGTAAAGATAGCAACTAGTTCAGATATGATGAAGATGGAAATGATGATGTAAGAGCTGTCGCATAAGAAAGCAAAGAAGAAACAGGTATAGTTTAAATCCAAGCCAGTCACATTCTCATCGAAGGAATACTTAAATTGACTAAAGAAATGTCAATAAAAAGTTCTAAATAATTGAAAAAAATAAATTAATCACAGAGTTCTAATAATTGTGCAGCATGATAAGAAGGAATAAAAGGTTCTATTAACGAAGGAGAAGTGTTAGACATATATAAAATGTTAATTAAATTAGATTGGAGTCTATTATAAATTATAAATTTAGAAAATTCAAGATCATTAAGCAATGCTAGAGACCAAGCGCAATAAGGAACTGGTGCTATTTTATTTTGGTATACTGGGATTTGAAAACACAAGTCTGAAGGGATTTAAAAAAACATGTTTTTTTCATTTTACACTGAATCCTTTGGAAATAAAGGCTAACGAATCATAATAAAGACATCTAGAACACTCAGTGAAAAGTGTTTTCAGATCTCGTCTAATCATAGGTATGAAATGCATAACATGCACTTGGTCAAAGTCAACTTTCAAAAGTTATTTCACAAATGGTTTGTTATCTCCTAAGTGTCAACCCAAAACAAAGACATTTTTGTTTTTATTTTTTACTGGTAAAGGAAAGTCATAACTCAAGGAAACAATATGTGGGAATTGTGCATTAGTGTTTTGGGAGGAATTAAGAAATTATTTTTTTTTTTTTTTTTTTTTAAAGTGCGGTAGTTGAATTAAGAAATTTTTTCTGCTGGTCAAGTTTATGTTGCATTAAGCTGATGCTCTGATTGATCAAAAGTGCATATCACTTCATTATATCTATCTGCTTTCATTACAGATAAATCAATGCTTAAGAATATGAATGATTAGAACAAAAATCAAATACTTCTTTACCTTTGTGAATATAATAAACGTTTAATAATTACTTTTTTAATAAAAATAATCAACCTAATAAAATATCTTACTCAAAAACTCTCATATTTCAAATTTTATTGAATTACTTTACATATGGAACAAAAAATTTATGTAAATACAAATATTATTGTTTAAAAGATTAATTTATTTATATGAATATAAGACATTTATTTAATTCAATGCTTAATGGGGGACGAACTCCATCGCATATCTAGTTATTCATTAAATTCAGTTAAAGGAACAGGTAAATTTGTCAAGTTTAGATTACTTGTATATTTTTATTTTAATTATGTTAGAAAACAAAACTTACTTTAGATTTGCCATTTAATTAATAGATGCACCATTGTTTTACATTTTAATAAATTGCCCAACTTTTTATGTACCCCAAATTTTTGGGAAGAAAAAAAAAACCATTCGTTAAATCAAACAAAAAGGTGAGATCTACATATATAAAATTTTGTGCGACCGACATAGAAATTGCAGTTCACGCATGATCATGATGAATAAAAGCTAAAAGTTCCCTTCCATTGCCACATTATAGAAATATTTTAATTTTTCTTTTAATTCCTTTAAAGACTTTCCATCCTGCCATATTTATTGTACGGGTCAGGTATCATGAACTTGGTGAATGTGCTGTATTAATAAAATTAAGCTCACCTATCTTATTCAACGTGCCAGGGTTCAATATTATTAAATGCTTACTATATTAAGAGTTTATCGAAATAAGTCAATATTCCTCTTATTGATTTTAATATCATTATAACGAAATTAACCCTCTTATTCTAAAAAGACATATTTCTTAAAGGAAATTCTTTTCTCGAATTTCATTCAATCTTTCTGAAACTTACATCTTTTTATTATTGACAAACAAGTTTACTAATCACATAAAATACATTTAAGGAATTATAAATTTTCAAGTGGAATGTTTTTGAAAATGAAATAAAAGATAAAATTAATAAAATTAAATTTCTTAAATTGTCATCTGAAATTATGTAATAAATAGACTTCTTACTGTTAAACCAATAACGAATTTTAGGTGCCTTAAATACCCACATGTTGCTGGCATTTAAGGGTGTGATTTCTGCACTTTTCACAAAGAAGAGATAGATGAGGTTTTTTGAACTTAATTCTACTCCTGATGAGATGTCGGTAATTGACCAATTTATTGTCACCATTATTACATTCTTTACAATCCTGCATAAAATAATCTCCACGGTTCAGATCTGACGCGGGAATGTCATTCTGATATTTTTCGAGCAAAATCCACGTATAGGAGCTGGTCCACTTTTTTTCGCATTCATTGTTATTGCAGTCCCATTCCCCAAAAACACGATACCATTTTTTCTTTTCCTTATCTTCATATACTAAGTGTTCGAAGAAGTAAGGCTCATAATCGGTCAGCTCGTTTTGTTTATTATCGCAGATTTTACACTTTTGTTCGATATAATCGCCTATTTTCAGGTCTTTGGCAGAAATTTTGTCTTTGTACTTTTTAATTAAAATCAGAGTCGAACCAGTCCATTTGTTTGGACAACCGTCACTCGAACAGGACCATTTTGCGAGAACACGTTTGCAGTCCTTCTTTTTTGGGTTTGCCATTTTAGTGATGACACCTTCGTGGTGATGGTTAATGGTTTAAGTATAAACTATTCAAAACTGACATTTATGACGGATATTTTATAATATTATTGAGTTAGTTTGAAGCTACAATGAGTCTTATTTAGCCGATGTGTGACAAATAATAATCACTTACAAATAACAATTTTATTTTTATTTTTTTGTTCAAGGTAACACCCATTTTCTTCAGTTAGTGTCGATTTCGATAGTGACATTTACACTTGTTGAGTTATGGAACGTTTTGTCAACAAGGAAGTTCATAATTCGAGTAGGTTATATATATTAAAGGTGAAGTTTTCTTTTAAATTTAGAGAAAATGATTTTTCTAATTATGCATATAAAGTACAATTACAACATAATAATTTAATGTAATATTGAAAAAACAAGAATGATAAGCAAAGGGAAGTTACGCCTGTCGGCACGTGGATTGATGGATTGCCAAGCACTTGCTTATATTTATGGTATGCCGCCATCATTGTTACATGATCAAAATACATATCGGAAGGTAGTATCAACACGACATTTACCAAAATTGTGAATAACAGGAGATAATATTCTTTTTAGGTGGCGTTCAGGATTTCTAAAGAGAAGGGTGTCGATCCGAAAAAAAAAAAAAAAAAAAAAAAATACAAAACAAGGATATTCTTATTTGGTAACTTTACATAAGCTTTTGTCATCAGGTTTGAGGCACAGCAATTTTCAATTCATAATCAGTTAATACAGTGGTGGTCGACAATTTTTAAAATTGTGATAGTTATATAAATATTACACTAATTAAAACATAAAATATATCATTTTAAAGCTAATAAGTGATAAATTTTATTTAAAAAAATTTATGGTATTTATTTATCATTTTTTTTTATAAAATCAATTAGAAGGTTTTTTTGTATTTTTTATTTTTTACTTTTATTCAAAAAACTTTTAATTTACTAAATTTTTCTAACCCATATAACTTCACATTCCTTTTAATAATTAAGCTAATAGTTTTCAATAAGTTTAGATCTAGATTATTAAAAGAACAATCCATTACCTTTAAAATACTATTTTCAAAAAAAAAATTAGTAAAATATCAAATTACTTAATAAAATGACTAAAATGCTATCTTGATAAAGAATTTTTTACATTTAATCTCTAATTTATTTCAATTTTTTTTAAGTTTTAGTGATAGTTTTATGTTAATCTTTATGAATGAGTATATTTTAGTAGCATTGTATACTTCCTGCCTTCAGAAATGTAATTTCATTTAATGTTAAGTTTTTTGCCTAGATAAAATCACTTTAAAGCTTAATAAACTAAAATTTTATTAAGGTATAGGAAAAGTTTTACTTGAAAGTAATATCTTAATTATAAGGCTTTCATTTGCATTTTTATTTATGTATGTATGATTAAAATTGAAGAAGTTGCAAAATAATGATCTGACGTAGTAAAATTGTCATTTTTTTGACCATCACTATAAATAGAATTAGGTGATTTATTTAATAAATGAAATTTCTCAATAAAATTTTGTAATTGTTTAACAATATGTATTGAGTATTTTCTACAAAAGTTCAAATCTATTTAAAGAAATAATATATACTGTACCAAAATAAAAGCCAATTGTATTTTTAAAAATATGAATATGAATTTCTATTTAAAATATCAAAAGCAAAAAATAAAATTTTATTTAAGTAATTACAAACTATTTTTTGCTTGATATTAGCTACTATATTACAATGTTTACTTAAATACAAATTTAAAAACAAAAATATATATTTCATTTTTTAGAAATTCGTTATAGATATATCAGTAAAAATGTCTAATTGAATAGAATCACCGATTTGTGATTCAGAATCAGAATTATTATTTATATTTTCTAATACATTTTTCATATTAATGTTCTTTATCCTTTATGTCTATATTTATAAAATAAAAATTAATTAAAAAATTAATATAAATTAATGAAAAAGATTTTATAACTTTAAAATTTTACATACTTTCAGATGATTCATCTACAATAGTTTTTCCAAAACTCAACTTCAAAAATTCTTCTAATACTCTTTTAATAGTTGGTATTTACTTAGGATTTTGATCCTAACATTTTTTATAAAGTTATTTATAACCTTTTGAAGTACCTTTTATAGTAGCTTCACAAGATTTTCTAATAATAGAAGAGACAATTGTAATATTATTAATATTCTTAAATGAAGGATATCCACTAGAAATTTCTCACACCAATATACCATAACTATAAATATCTGAAGGCTTGATATATTGAAATTTTTTGTCTGCAAGTATTGAAGTTCTATATAGACAACTTTACCAAAATATCCAAGATGCATTGTGGAATTTTTTTCAATTTTTGAAATATCAAAATCTGTAATTTTAGCATTATTTTCATAGATAACTATATTTTCGAATGCTAAAATTAAAATAAATTAATAAATTACACAATTTATTAAAAATAAATATAACATATTTACAAAATCTCTATGTAAAACACCTTCATTATGCAAACAATTTAATTCATCTGTAATTTGAAATGCTAATTTTTTTTATCATTCCAAATTATCCAAATTAACTTCTTAAGATAACTTTAAAGATTACTACCATTTACATATTCCATTACAAAACATAATTCATTTGTAATTGGATTTTTATGATTAATAACAATTGAAAATTATTAAATTTTTTTAAAAAAAGAGAGTTTAACTAAATTAATTATTATCTCTAATAATATCTAAAGATGTATAATTTGATTATTATGAGTACAATATATATGTATTTTTAATTCATAAATAAATGCATTTAATATATCATTATTATATTTAAATATATTTGTATTAGTTAATTTTTTATAAATAATATAATCATTTGTTTTTATTTAAATTGCTTTTAAAATACTTTCAAAACCTTCTTTATCTAATAGTTTTGAATCAATTAAATCATTATATAGTATAATTTTAATTTCATTTTCTAATAAGTTATTGATTAATTTGATTATATTCATATTTATTTTATTTTTAATAAATTAAAAAAAGTTAATATAAATAAATAAAACACAAAATTACTTTTAATTATACTTAAATATTTATTTTATCTAATTCTTCTATAAAATTAAATTTTGAAAATTCTTCTAATATTTTCTTAAGAATAAGTCTTTTTCAGCTTTTTGATTTTAACATTTTGTATAAAGCATTTCATAACTTTTAGGGGTATCTCCTATAGTAATTTTATGATAATTATTCATAATATTTATAAGATCTCTATGAAATATAAATTTCTTTGCAATTTGAAATGCTAACATTTGTTTATTATTTCAAGTTAAATTATTAAAATTATTTTTAGATAGCTTTAAAGATTACTATTATTAGCATATTGCATTATAAATAAAAATTCTTTTATATTTGTATCTATTAAATTTTTAGTTAATAAATTATTTTTAATAATGTAAACAAATCTATAAAGTGATATATATATAATTGATCTACAAAATTGATCTGCTGGATAATTTACAAATAGATCTACATTTGCAATACTAAAAATGTTAACATTATTGATATAGTTAATATAGTTAACATATTTGACATATTTGATATATTAGATATGTTTAATTTATTTAATATATTATTACCTAACTATTGATTAGGCAGTCTAAAACACGTAATCAATTGATTAGCAGCAAGATTTAACTCAATTTTTACGATGAATTAGGAGAGACTTTAATTATATTGAACTTTGATTGATGTTAGAGTATTTACACAATTAAGTTTCTGAATTAGCAAATATAAAAACTTCCAATTCACTATGTATAACTCATAATTTCTTATAATATTTAGAAAAATATATTAATGATGTTATAATAATCATATTATAACAAAGTTGTTGATATACAACTTAAAGTATTTCACAGTATAAATACTTTAACTTATTAGTGCTCCAAACACAGTTGTTAATATAAAGTAATTGGTTAATACCAAGTGATTTATTGACATGAATAAATCAAAGATGTTAAACATGATTGACACAAAGTAGTTTGATACAAAATATTGTTACGGTCAGTTCTTTATGTTGCTTAAATGTTAAAAGCGAACGGATAATATATGTGGTAAGCAGAAGGTT